GGTGTGGCCAGCCTGGTGAAGGGGATGTCTGTTTGCAGGGTGGCCAACAGCCCCTTCAGGGTGGGCGTCCCCCCTGGGGTGCCTGGCCAGTCTGGGTGAGTGGCTGATGGCTGTTTGCAGGCTGGCCACAGCCCCCAGCCATCCAACCTCCCAGTGGAGGCTGGCTGGAAGCAGGTATCTGGGATTTATTTATCTTCTATAATTGAAACTTTGTTGCCTCGAGCAGAGGCCACAGTGGGCAAGGGTAGGCGGGAAGCTTGGCTTCCTCCATTGCAGGGGCAACCAAGCCTCTTACTTGCGCCAGCTCCATGGTTGCCGGTGGCCATCTTGGTTGGGTTAATTTTCAAATAGTTGCTCTGATTGGCTGGTTGGCGTGGCTTAGGGAGTAGCAGAGGTGCGGTCAATTTGCATGTTTCTCTTTTATTAGATTAGACTAGTATCCCGGTGCACGAAATTCGTGCACTGGTGTAGGGGGGGAGAAGGGGCCCCTCAAGTCTGGCCTTCACCCTCTCCAATCTGAGACCCCTCAGGGAATGTCCAACTACCTGTTTGTGCCCATACTTGTAACAGATAACAGCTCCATTGTTGTTCCTTTCTTATACTTAAAACCATTGGAATTAGTAGGTATTCAAAGTGTGTATACATTTTGGGGGGACACCCTGTATATCTCTAGTCCGTGGTGAAAGAAACCAACAGCAGATTTGGAACCCCCACACAGGGAACCTTGCTCATTCCCCACATGTCTCCCCACTTCACTTTCCATCTTTGTGGGCAGCAGGAGAATCAATGTTTTATCTCATTAATTCGGAAAAGCACATCCTGTCACCCGTTGCCTGGCAGGAGTGTGCTAGGCCCCAAGCAAGCAAGGCTCAGTCAGTGCAGCCTTCGCTCATGGGTGCTGGCACCCAAAGTGCACATTCCTCCTCTACAGTCGCCCCGACTATCCCACTGTTTCACTGAGAGGACGGAATTCCTCTCTGCCTCTGGGCTCTTGAGCTTGAACGCTGACCAAAGGCACCTCAGAGAGGGCTGCCCGCGCCCATCAGATGTGTCTGTCTGCACCTGCTCCTGCCTCAGCACCTGCAATAACCCCCCAGAGGTGATCTCGTAGCTGCACTGGCCTCCGTGGGAACAGGGTATCACCACTCCGCCCTCTCACTGTCATCTCACAGGCGCCCACTCTCAGCACCCAGAACACCCAGACACTCTCCAAAGGACGTGAGCGCATCAGAGGGGATGTGTGCACATCCTGTGGGGGTGTTTGGCATGCCGGGTTGATGGAAGTGTGGTAGAAAGGCGGGGGGAACTTGTGCACGCCTTGGTTTGCAACTGTTGCAGGTGTGGGAGGGTGACAGTGTGCTGGGGGATGTTCGCACGCCAGGGGGGTATGTGCACACCAGAGGCCTCTGGCTTTGCAGATCCGCAAACCCCCGTGGTGTGGCCAGGAGGACGTCAGTCTGGCCCGCGAAGGTGGCTGTCCCTGCGATCCTGCACCTTCTGAGCCAGGAGGCAGATCTTGCGCAGTCACTCCTGGGCGCTAATGGCTGCCTCCCTGCCGTGAAGGGTCACGGATCCGAGTCCCGAGACCGTGCATAGCCTCAAGCACTGCCCTCCGCATGACAGGGTCACAGATCTGGGTCCCAAGACCACACACAGCCTCAAGCACTGCCCTCCGCCCGGCAGGGTCATGGATCTGGGTCCCGGGACAGTGGACAGCCTCAAGCGCTGCCCCCCGCCTGGCAGGGTCACAGATTTGGGTCCTGGACTGCAGACAGCCTCCCGTGCTGCCCCCCTGCCCACCAGGTCACGGATCCGGGTCCCGGGACCACGATCAGCCTCAAGCACTGCCCCCCACCTGGCAGGGTCACAGATCTGGGTCCCGGACTGCAGACAGCCTCCCGTGGGCCCCCTGCCCAGCAGGGTCACAGATCCAGGTCCTGGGACTGCGGACAGCCTCAAGCACTGCCCCCCGCCTGGCAGGGTCACAGATCCGGGTCCCAGACCGCAGACAGCCTTGCCTGCTGCTGCCTGCCTTCAGTATGCAAATTAGCCGCCATCTTGTTGCTTCAGGGTGGGGGTCCCCACTGGGGTGCCTGGCCAGTCTGGGTGAGGGGCTGAGGGCTGTTTTCAGGCTGGCAGGCGACTGAAGCTCCAAACCTCTCCTTTTTTTCTTTTTTTTTATTCTGGCATTTATTTACCTTCTATGGCTGTCACTGGAGCTGAGAGCTGGCTTTCTCTCTGAGGCTCAGCTGCTGAAAGCAGGTTTCTGGCCTTTGTTTACTTTCTGTATTTGAAACTTTGTTGGGACTCCAGCTCTGAGATCCCGGCTAACTGAGAACAGGTTACTGGGGTTTTGTTTAGCTTCTATATTTGTTACAATGTTTCAAACTGCAAACTCAGAGGCCGGCAGCAGCAGGCGGGGAACGTTGGAGTCCTCCGTCACTGAAGCAAGCAAGCCTCCTATTAGCTTTAAGCTGCCTGGCTGCCGGCCGCCATCTTGGCTGGTAGTTAATTTGCATATTGCCCTGATTAGCCAATGGGAAGTGTAGCGGAAGTACGGCTAATTACCATGTTTCTCTTTTATTAGATAGGACTAGGGGCCCGGTGCATGAAAATTCGTGCACTCTGGGGGAGAGGGGGATCCCTCACCCTGACCTGCACCCTCTCCAATCTGGGAACCCTCAGGGGAGCCCTCTCCAATCTGCGAGTTTCTGTCTTTCTTTGCAATCATATGAGCGAATTGTCTGAGACTTCCAACCCAGTTTGGTTTGTTGCTCACAGAATGATAGAGGCTTTTTTTTTTCTTTGCTCCATTGTTGGAGATTTCCTGGAAGTTTTAGGATATCTTCCCTTTAATTTTTCCTAGACACTCTGATTTTACTTATGTCTCTCACCTTTGCTTTCCCTCCATCCCCAACCACAACAATAACTTGCTCCAGGCTCATTTTGCTCTAGTGCAGTGGTTCTCAACCTTGGCTGCACATTAGAATCACCTGGGAATCTTTTTAAAATCCTGATTTCTGGGCCTCATCCTCCGGAAATTCTGTTGTTTTTTTTTTATGGGGTGGGGCCACAACGTTAATAACAAATAAACAGAATTTCCGGAGGATGAGGCCCAGAAAATTAAGATTTTAAAAGAATTCCCAGGTGATTCTAATGTGCAGCCAAGGTTGAGAACCACTGCTCTAGTGTCTAGAACTACGATTCCCCGCATTCCTGTTGCTCCCTGCACTCTGGGCTTCCGCTTCTGGTCTTGGGGCTGCCATCAGAACTATGATTCCCAGTATTCCTGGTGCTCCCCCCACTCTGGGCTTCCACTTCCGGTCCTGGGGCTGCCACCAAAACTACTATTCCCAGAATTCCTGGTGCACCCCACGCTCTGGATTTTCCCCGACTGAGGGAGCCATGTCTCCCCAAGGGAGCAACCAAGAGAGCGACCAAGGGAGCCACATCCCCCCAAGCTGCCAGCTCTCCCACTCTGCTCTGTGTATGGAAATTATCCACCATCTTTGTTGAGTTAATTTGCATACTCACTCCTCATTTGCTGGTGGATGTGGCTTGTGGGTGTGGCTTGAGCATAGCAGAGGGACAGTTAATTTGCATGTTTCTCTTTTATAATATAGGAGAGGAGGAAACATTTTGGAGTGGTAGATTATTTGTTATCTTGATTGTGATGACAATTTCATGGGTATACTATTACATGTACATAAAAATCTATCCAATTGTATACTTTAAATATGTGCATGCATGTCAATAGTATGTCAACTATACCTCAACAAAGCTACATGCAAACAGGATAAAATAGATAAAAGCACATGTAAAAACACACATGTACACACACACACACACACACACACACATACAGGCAGTCCTTGGGTTTTGTCAGACGTCATTTCATGGTTACGTCACCGTCTCCCATTTACAGTATTTATAAAAAAAAAGTTCCATTATTTCGACTTATGTACATATGTGCTTTATGTTTTTTATTATTTATTTACTACAACTAAAGGTCAGGAATTGTTATCTTTTAATTTTTTTTTTTTTTTGCTGTTTCACTTCATTACTGCTGTGTATGTGCTCCATGTGAGTGATGTAGGTGCTTCTGTAGGTGGGTTCCGACTTATGGCGAAAATCACGTTAAGTCACACCGTAGGAATGGATCTCCAACGTAACCCGAGGACCTACTGTATAAAGTAATATGTGGTCTTTATTTTTTAGCTTTCACTGAGGCTTCTGTCAACAGGTAGGTGACTAAGCCACCTTGAAGCAAATCCTCCAGTATCCTTCAAGCCTTCACATAACTGCATGCCTTAGCTGATATTTTGATAGCAACCTCATGAGAGACCCTGATCCAAAACCACCCACCATATCCACTCCTGGATTGCTGACTCTCAGAAACTGTGTAAGATAAATGTTTCTTATTTTAGATGCTAGGTTTAGGGGTAAGTTGTTATGTAGGAGTAGAAAGATAATACAGCATTTATTACACTTTTATATAAAACTAGAGGCCTGGTGCACAAAAATTTGTGCACTCCGGGGGGAGGGGGGTCCCTCAGCCCGACCTGTGCCCTCTCGCAGTCTGGGACCCCTCGGGAGATAACGACCTGCTGGCTTAGGCCTGCTCCCAGGTGGCAGAGGGCAGGCCCAATCACTAGGTGCAGCCCCTGGTCGGGCTCAGAGCAGGGCTGATTGGGGAGTTGGGGCGCCGCCCACTGTCATGCACAGAGCAGGGCGGATTGAGAGGTTGCGATGCCACCCTCAGTCATGCTCAGGGTAGGGCCGTTTGGGGGGTTGGGGCACCGTCCCCTGTCACACTCAAGGCAGGGTCGATGGGGAGGTTGCGGTGCCACCCCCTGTCACTCACAGAGCAGGGCCAATCAGAGGGTTCGGGCGCTGGCCCCTGTCACTCACAGAGCAGGGCCCATCAGGGGGGTTGGGGCTCTGTACCCTGTCACGCACAGAGCAGGGTCGATCAGGGGGTTGGGGAGCTCCCCCCTGTCATGCACAGAGCAGGGCCCATCAGGGGGTTGAGGAGCTCCCCCCTGTCACTCACAGAGTAGGGCCGATAGGGGAGTTGGGGCACCGCCCCCTGTCACACACAGAGCAGGGCGGATCAGGGGGTTGGGGCGCTGCACCCTGTCACACTCAGGGCAGGGCCGATGGGGAGGTTATGGCTCTAGCCCAGCCGTGGGCAAACTACGGCCCGCAGGCCGGATCCGGCCCGTTTGAAATGAATAAAACTAAAAAAAAAAAAAAGACCGTATCCTTTTATGTAATGATGTTTACTTTGAATTTATACTAGTTCACACA